CCCATCTCAGCTTCAAGTACCACAGCTCTGATTAAGTCTATTCATTCTATTAAGTAATATGTGATTTCATAAGAAATAGACCTATGTAAAGGAAAGATCCACGAATAAAGATTAGGTTTCCTAGGGATATCAGTAACTAATAGCGTTTCTTTAGGAAGTAAATGTAAGTAATTTATCCCAGCTTTTTCATCTGTAAAATGGAAGAGTCATAGTGTTTGCGAGGATCAAATAAGAAAGTGGCTATGGTTTCCTTTTGAAAAGTTGAACAAGCTCTACAAATGTCAAGCCCTGTCACTTTTGGATGCTATCTTACAAAGCTGGTCCCTGGTATGTGCTTGCCAATCATCACAGCCCCTGTTTTTGACTATCTTTCCTGGGCACATGGAGCACTTCACTCAAAACCAACTTAAACACCACATATAAAGTACAGATAAGCACTGAGAAAAATCCAAATGCATTGGCAGTACCACTGCATGTTAAAAAGAAAGAACTGGATTCACATGGAACTTCGTTTTCGTGGTGCATAACTCTCCGCTCCAAAGGTCCTATTAACTTCAAAGGAAGCTCCGTTCATGTAAATCATTATATTTATTGGATGCGCCAACTCCTTCTTATCCTCCAGGCACAATTAGAAATATCATAGAAAAATGAATGTCAGAGACTAGGATCCATATTTGATATTCTATGGGAAATTTCCCATAGTTACAGATGTTAAAAATTCTGCCCAATGGTCCAATCGTGATTTTTGCAGTATTTCCTTTCTATATTCTTGGAATTACTTTTTCTCTGATTTTAGAATATTTGTCTTACATTAAAGGAAAAATATTCTCTAGTGATAAAATTTTGGCTGTTGTACAACTTGGTATAATAATAAAAATGAAGACTGCACTACCCCTCTTTAAAGGAACAGTTAGTGCTTCCCTGAGATTATCCCATTTACAGTTACAGCAATTTTGTTCCTGCTTCAAATTCACTCTGGGAACTGCTATTAGTGTTGGTATCTTGGAACTGAATTCCTGGGTGCTCAGTTCAATATTATATACACCAAACCACCCTGTAATTTCGGTGTTCACTGTAAATTTAGGCCATTATCAATTTTCTTGTTAGGATGTGGGTTGAAAGCTGTACAATCAGTGAAAATCCACTGTAGGTGTATGTAACCCTGCACTTTTTACACCAATTTGTTGTTTCTTCACTTTAAATTCAGTAGTTTCATGCCTCATGATTGAAGTGTCTCTTGTATTGACTGAGACAAAAAATTTAATGTCTCCACTGTCCTCTCAGAGAATATGTAGACCTTGTGTTACAGACATGGTAACTCAGCAACATTATGTGTGTGTCTGTGTGTGTCCATGTATAGAAAGGCATCTAAGAGGGCATATTAAGTCTTTAACTATAATTTTTTCAAGGTGACAATATGGAGAAAAAAGTCTCTCAAATTAAATGTTTAGGGGTATTATGAAAGAGAAAATGATAATTAAATACTAGAAAAAGACTTTACTGGAAATGTATCCACATCTAGGTAGTTTTAAAGATATACTTCTTTTATAGTGTTTGGATGAGCAATGTATTAAAAAGATTCATTCTCACTAGCTTATAGATAAAATAATATCAAAGTAATTTGTATCCACTGAATTATTCCCAGGAAATAAATATGCAAGAACAGTCTAATTTTAGTAGGTGTTTATAGAACAAAATAATCCAAAGTATATATAACAATCAAATTTCTAGTGAAAATGTGTGTAAGTAGGTTTATTTTGAAAGGAAAAGTCCTACTCCCAGTGTCATAATCAATTAAATTCTCCAGGTAATGACCCCATTTGCATAGTGAGCGGAACCCACAAGTGGGAATTTTAATGGGTACACCACCTGAGTACAGTAATTGAGAGTGACACAACTTGAACTAGTTTTGTGCTTACCCCACTGAAAATTCTACTCATATTATTTTTAATGTCAAGCTACAAGTCAAATTTCAAGATGATGGATTTGTTCTTTTTTAAGCACTGAGTTTGAATAAAAGAAATACTTTAATTCTGTTCTGCATTGCAGATCTTTGCTTTAACTAATCTCTAGTTCTGATTCTCACCATTGCTTCACTTTCTTCAGTGATTGGAATTTAATTTTATTCATTAATTTGTGAATAATTAGATAAAAAATAATGTCCTCAGCAGCTAAATTGCTTTTGGATTGCAATTTAATATATTTTTTGCCAGAATATGTATTATATAGTTAAGCTAGCATAATAGTTTACTAAAATGTAATTGTGTAAATATGCCCAATTATTCTTTCTGATGATCTAACAAAATCTAACACAATACGTATTCTTGGGTAGTTCACTTTTCCTTCACCTCAATACCAGTAAAATGCAATTTCTTCAGAGCTGATCAGAGATGCCTTGTCATCTGAAGGTATTACTTTGAAAGATACTCTCCTCTCTCAGGCACTATTCATGTCCTTGAAAGAATTGTGCATTCTGAGTGAGGGATCCTATGACGTCCACATTAAATTATATAATAAAGGTGATTTGAAAACTCTCAGAGTCAAACACAGTAGATGAACTGTGCTTTCTAGGTTTTGAGGTGACATTTCAAAACTCCTTTTGTTTCACTCTAAGATTGTGTGCAATGCTAAGTGTTTGTAGGTGTTTGACACCACTCTTCCATGTCTGTAATTGGCATAGCATCCAGCAGACAGGCTCTGTACATCTTTACACTGCAACCTACCAAGTTAAGAAATGTATTGGTTCAATATAAAACAGCAGGCTGTTTTAAGACATAGTTACTAGTGCACAAGCTTTAATATGGCTTGGCTTCCTCCTATAATGAGATCTTTTGGTTCCCTGCTCAACAGGCTTTTATTCCTTTGCAAAAGGCTATGAACTATGTCAAGTGGATCAGCTGCTTTTGTACACCCTCTTTCTTGGCTTTGGAATGTAATTCCTTTGCTTCTGCCCCTTTATGCATCAGAGAGAACTTAAGAATCTTCAATTTTTCAAGCTAAACTTAGAATTTGTTTGAATTTTCTTTTCATCATTTTCCTAATAATTATATTCTCAACTAAACTTCACAAAAAGACTTGCCTGGAAGAGAATACCTAATTGCAAAAGCTATAGCTTGTCTCTAACACATATCTGTAACCTACATCTGCAAAGTGTCAAAAGACAGTTTTCTCAAATGATTTCTTGGAGGTCACCTCATATGTACATGATTCTCTTTTGATGTTGACTAAATAATGAAGTGAGGGATTTGCAGTATAAATAAACAAACAGAACTATTAGCCACAGCTGAAAGAAAAGGCAGAAACTACTTATACTCATCTATATGACTCTGGTAGAAAACATCATGTCCCGCCCCAACTTGAAGATTGGTGTTGGACAGATTTTCTGTTTGCCTCAAGAGTACTTTCTGAGGCGAGGTAGGAGTGGGAGGTGAGCCAAGGCTGGGTTCATAATCTTTTTAATTCCCAGAGTGTCTACTGACCTCATTAAAATTTGATCATACATAATGATCTTTTGAGTCAGTCTTTTAAAGTAAATGGCACAGTTCATTGTTCACTGGGAAGTTTGCAATGGGAAATGATTGTGGGTTTAGTCACCAGTAATGGCATTTGTTAAACCCACCCTCCCACATTAGAACTGCAACACATTGTCCTCTTTCCACAGCCTTTTCCATTTTAACCTAAACCTCTGAAAGCAATCTTAAATAGCTAAGTAAACAACAGGAGCTTCACTGGTGGAGCTAATAGTTTTCTCATGGGCAGTGCCAAACTTTTCTGGGTTGAAATTTTCTGAAGATTATGTGACTTTCTTGAGGCTCCCAGAACCAAACCAAGCAGAAAGAAAACACTTCCTGTAAGTTTCTTGATTACTAGGGGCACAAAGAGATGAAAAATTGAAAGGTTTTCCTTGATACTGAATCCTGGATTAAAATTGTACATAGTAAAGGTGAGAATAAACCAATCAATATATTAACCATGGTTTAAGAAGAAACTGCTTTGCTCTACTACACTGGTGTAAAAGGAAGAGAAAAAGGGGTTTTACAGTATTTGATGAAATCTTATTTGGTATCTCTGCATAGACGCAGCAATCCAATGAAAAAAATGAAAAGGTCCTGAATAATTTGGAAAATAATCTTATCAATAAATGAACTATTAATTAGAAAGATGGGTAAATCTAACCATTTAACCACCATTGAAGAAGTCAAGCCACTGAATCCCTGTGTTCAAATCGTTGTTATGTCAGGCAGTGACTTTTGACACTAATAACATTAGAATCTAGGATATTGATAGAGTTTATATGGACGAAGAATGGAAAGTTATTATACAAGGCTGCCTTGATTATTCCTTAAACTGCACAAATAACACTGAGTGTTCAGGTGAAGAAAATGGACACATATGGTATCACTGGAAGAACACAAAAACAAAATGATAATTTCTCCAAATAAACAGCCTTTTCTGAAACAGTTCTACTGGCATGTGTTAGTTATATAAAAATATTTTTTAAAACTGTGCCTCTAAAATTCCTAGATGGAAATACTTTTGATGATTCTTTTGAGTGAAAGTAATATTCATTAGATTTAATATCCAATCTCATCCATCTGAGCATTTTTTGCTTGATGTTCAATCTTGGGATATATAAAAATTTGCTTAATTTTATAAGTTAAGATATAATTCTCAAAGTAAATAATTGAAATCAATCTACTAAAAAGGTATGAAATTTGTATTTTGACATGAGTTTTTGAAAAAACACTACTGTGTTTTCATATCATGTATCAACTATGATTTTGACTTATAAAATGTTCTATTTCTCCATAGATAGTTCTCCATAGTTCATTTATGACCAATACATAAGGAAGCTAGGAAATCTCCAGAAGGGGATGTAATAGGAATAAGAAATACAGAAAAATCTAAGTTTTTAAATAATAGTTAAATTATTAAAGTATCAATTACTATATCAATTAGATATGAAAGTATGACAAAGAACAACAAAGTCATTTTAAAAATTTTAAAATATTATATTCATGATAATACAGATCCAGTTTAAAAATATTTAAGATCAAGTTTCCACATTTAAAAAGAGGTGAAATATATAACTGCACTTAGCTATGATGGTCACATAATTCAATAAGACATTTAACATACAGAAATACTAAAATATATTGAAACTATTTTCACATTTGCCTACTTTTATGCTTTTTTCTTTTTACTTTTTAATTATACAAGAAACTTTAAGGAATGACTGCCTGAAGTAGACGAATCAAGAAAAGTATTCAATGTGTAAGTATGAAAATAAAATTCTGGTATCCACTAATGTTCTCTGTTATAGAGAAACCTTATTTCAAATGTGTTAATATTTTCATTGCAAAGAGTAGAAGGATATACTTAAATATCAGACAAACCACTTAATTGAAAATTTCTGCAGATAAAAATTAGTCAAATTTCTAACAATTCCAGGTTGTTAGCAAGTTCTATGGGTCTATAAACAGATGCTATTCTTGTATCCTAATATACAAGCATAAGTTAATTTTGGGTATATATCAATATTCAGATTCTCATCATATTTTATGTAAGAAATCAAAGATATTCTTTAGAAGAGGAAGAAAAAAAACCCTGTATACTGAAATTGTATTTAAATCAAATAATTTAAAGGTTGTGTGTGTGTGTGTGTGTGTGTGTCTGTGTGTGTGTGTATGGAAATGGCACTAAAAGAGAAATCTGAGTCTGCTAACATTTTTTTCTCTTTTAAGCCCTTAAATAATATTATAAATAGAAACTAGGTTTCATCTCAAAAGAAAACCATAAGTTTTCACATGATTCAAGTTTGAAAAGTCTCTTAAAAGTTTAAGTTTATTTAAGGCTTCCTAAAACTATGACTATTGTTATCAGTTTAATAATCACCCAGAAAAATTGAAAATTACCGTTAATCCTAGTTTCAAAATTTCTACAAGGCATTGCATTGAATAAAACCGAACTACAATTTTGGAGAGATCAAATTCACAGGAGAACATATAGGGCATATATGTTCATTTGAACTATAGATACTTAAGACTCTGTAACTATATAATTACTTTTGCGATTGACATTTCTTTACATGTAGGAAACTTTATTACCTGCTATATGGGCTTAATTTAACTTAAAATTGCAATACTTAATTTGGTTAAACTAGTAGATATCAGGGTTCCTCATACATTGGAAAGAATGGTTTGCATCCAAGATTAACTTTATGAAGTATAATCATCGTTAAGAAACAAACCAAAATAAGCAGACAACACCATTTTTCCAGCAGACTTGAAGCTCTCAAAATAAAAGCAAGCCTTCGAAAAATCAAAATCAGAATAGTGGAATTTTAATATTAAAATATCTCCCATTCAATGAAATTTGTCAAAAGTAGTCCACATTTTTTATGAAATATAGCTATTTGTACAAGATATTATATTTTCATCAAAAATTATTGTGACATTTAAGTTATACATATTAAGGTGCTTATTTGGGCTAATTTAAATATTTATTTTAAAAAATTTGTATTCCTACAACTAAAATGAAGTGCACTGAATGTATTCTTATACAAACTGATTATAGGCACACACAGTTCAGGTTGTCCACCTAAAACTTTGTCCTAAATCTAAATAATTCATATAAGTAGCAGATGGATCACTCATTCTAAGAGGTCTGCTCAGACACTCGTTTTCCCTGATATTCAATATTCTGGTGGTTCCTCTCTGTTTATTTATGTGGACTTTTGTGTTTTTCTTCCTCATAATGCTCACCTATAGGTTTTAGCTTAGTTTGTTTCTTAACGGTCTCTTTCCTCTGCCACACTGAATGCTGCTATGCACAAGGGTGGAAGGATACTTGTCCTCTGAAGCCTAGATGAGAAAACAGCCAGAATGGGCACTCAGCAACTCTTGAACCAGTGGGGCATGTAGAGAAAAGAGTAGGGAGAGCAACACTGGGTGTCCAAGGTATGGTGTGAGTTTGTTTCCCAATGTTTGAACTAAATATGCTTACTTTTAACCTCTAGTAGATAAATATAAAAAATAAGTAGTCTGGTTTAAATACCCACTGAGAAATAATATGTTTGGAGCAACACACTCCTGGGAATGGTTAGGAGAAATAGAAATATCAATACAAAGAGGACGCATTTAACATGTTTGGTGTGTGTGTGTGTGTGTGTGTGTGTGTGAAAATGTACTTCAGTTACTGTAATCCATTAAGAAGTTTCCAAGCTCAGTGAAAATAGTTAAAATTTCACATATTAAACCATGTAGATTGGTGGGGAAAAAAAGGGTTTCAGAGAATACTTAAAAATAATGAGTTAACAGTGCAAATACTGAGTTGTTTCAATAGAATCTTACCATGTGTTTTTCAATTTCTTCAAAGAAAATTTTTAAAATGTTCTCCAGTTTTAACACAAACAAAAGATAAATATTTATGAAGGAAAACAAATCCCACAGCATTCCATACAGATTTCCAAACAGTCCGATGATTCACAACAGGCATCCATGATGCCACAATCCATGTCACACGGACAGTTACAGCCCTCCCCCATTTCGTCGCCACAGCAGCAGCAGCAGGCTTCTGACGTGCAGATGCCACAGGAGGCTTGTCCCAGGACAATGTTGCAGACCGTCAGGAATTCACAGAACAGGCATGCCAGGATGCAGTGGACACAACAATCTTCATTTTCAGTTGTGAGGGGATGACATTGGTGAGAAAGAGAAGGGACACAAAGTATATATCATCAATCGATTGAATAGGAAATGATCAAAGGTACAACCCAAATGACATACAGCCCCAGGAGTTTCTTTTTATGAGCTGATAATTCAAAAGGGGGCTCACATGAAATTCTAGACAAGCCATCTTTAGCAGTAAATACTGCATTAGCAAAAAAAAAAAAAAAATTAGCTGAGTATATGTGTGCGGTTTGTGTGTTACATTTTTACCCTGACATTGTGTGATGGCCCTTGGTCCTAAGTACCTCTTCTCTGTGCTTCTTACTTATCCTTCCCATAGCCTTCTCCTCCCTCTAACACTGTAAAACAATGTGTTATTTATTAATGTCTGTCGTATTTATTAAGCAAGAGTTTCCCTCAATTGCTCCACAGAAAAATAGCAAAGAAATACTGAGATGAAAGTTTAAACGAAAAATGTAGGCAGAGGTAAATCACAGACTGTATCTAGAAACCCTGAACTTTGCAAAGCCACAGACCTGGACTCATGTAAGTTGATTCCAGGACTCCTCTAAATGATTGGGTTTTACCAAAACATTAAAAGATAAAATATTTGATGTATAATTAAATAATTCAATTGTTAAACCAGAATCATTTAAGGTGGATCTACATGTTTCCCAACTGACTCAATTTGAACAAATTTCATCGTTTTTTAAAAAATTACAAACGAATTAAAGAAAAACAGTGAGAATCTCTAATTGGGTTCAGCTGTCATTACTCAACAGTCGCGCCTATTTCTAACAAAGGATTAGCAAGTATGAACCATGACTGGATAATCTGACTTTTCTACTTCCTTTGGATCTTTATACTTTACATCTTTATTATTTCTTGATGCTTCTCTAAACAACAATATTTAATAAATTTCATTAATAAAAAGGTAAGAAACCATATCACCATCTAACAAGTGCTACCATATTTTAGAATTATTTTCTTTAAAATTAAGGGCCAGTAGGAGGAGCAATGAAAATAAATTTATATTTTTGAATGATTTTAACACATGTAATAAAATTCTTTAAGACCAATGTTTGAGACTTTTGCCAGTCTGAGAAATATTTATGGTTTCTTCTGGATTACTTCTGGTTTATTCTGTGGATTTTTGCTTACTTTTGCATTTAGCAAAATGCCAGTTTTAATAAAGGGATTCCACATCTTGCAACAGCAATAAGACACAACAATCTTATCTTCATCCCACTATCTAATTCCCTTTATGTTTCTGTATTTGGCATTAAAACTGCTCAGCAAATTTTGTGAAAACCAAAGAATGAAGGAAGAAAAAGAAAACACAATTTGTTGTGTGGTAGCTGTGGAATACTAGGGACAAATGCTCCTGCCTCTATGATGCCTTGTAATTCTAAATGAAGATGCCAATTGATGGAATTCTTCTAACATCATTGTTACCGCTACTTCAAGAAAGCAAGCATCAAAGTATGTGAGTCCATTTTCAAACGTACAGGCCAATCCCTGAGGATCGCTTCATAATATCCCCCACATCCACACTCCATTTCACTGCAGGCTTTACCTCTGCTGGGAATTCAGAGAGTAAAAGAAAGATACAAGGAAACACAGTCTTACTCTATATGCTACATACCAAAAAAGGAGAAAAGGTCAGAAAAGAATTCCAGAGTTGCTTGCAGAATTAAAATCCAGAAAGAATACACCAATCATTCCTTTCCCCTTTCTCGGTGTCAAAGCCATTATCATAGGTAACGCATGTAGCGATTTGGAAAAGATCACGGAGTTGCGAGGATCTCTGGGTCTTTCCATCTTCCCCTAATTTTGATTTTGGTAGTACCCAATAATTTAGAAGAACCCTGAAATCAGCCTACAAGAATCTGAGTCCAAGGCCTTGCCAAGTTTGGGTTTCTAGAGAGTATCTGTGGTTTCCCTCCACCTACATTCTGTTTACAAACTTTCAGCCCAATATCTGTTTGATATTTGTCTGTTCAGTTCAGCTTTTCATTACGATTTGTAAAATATTTTAAATGCCATAGTTATTTCATAATTTTTATGAAAATAATATTAATGAGACGCACACAAGTTCTACTCAGCATAACTTTTAATGAACAATGTACTAATTGACTCCAAAAATATTTTATTGAGATTTAACTCTATTCCACTGTGGGCTGCTTAAATTTCAAGACCAAGAGAATCCCACTGAAGAACCTTTAACTGAGTATTACTAAAACACTAGGAATAATTACTGAGAATAAAGATTCTTTATGTACTAATCATAAAACACACCATTCATAGACCTATATGTAATGGATTCATCAGTTATAAAAGGGAAAGAATGTTTGTCCCACTTAGCCTTAGAAACAGAAGGTTATAATATACATTTTTACATAATCAGAAAGGAAATCATATTTTATGAATTCCCGTGAGTGGCATTTTTGCTCAGCATCATGTGTTTGAGATATACTCACACTGATTCATGTAGCTGTAGTTCACTCATATCCTATGTACTGTAGCCAACTGAATACATCACAATGGATATATCCATTTCATTATTTATGGATATTGTTGTTCTTTTCAGTGTTTTTACTGTTCCAAAGATTGTTTATTGGAGCAACTTGTGCAAACCTCCCATAATACACCTGCTAAATAACTAGCAGTAGAATTATTGGGTCACAGAATTGCATATCTTTAATCTGATTCCAAACTTGTTTGCAAAATGATTCCTCCAAAATTTACTCCCATCCACTAAGTCTGAGACTGCCCATTGCTCCACAATCTTTGATACTGTCACACTTTAATACATACTAGTTATCTGAATGTGAAACAGAATCTCATAGTGGCTTCACTTTGCATTTTGTTGTTTACTAATACAATATCTTTTCATGTCTTTTGGCCTTTCAAGTTTCCATTTCTTCAAAAGAGATGTCCAATGTGTTCATAATATTCCCTCATTCTTCTACTAACTTCTTTTTGAGTTCTAGAAACGTTTTATATAACCAAGATTCTAGTCCTTTGTTAAATATGATTGTCTTCTCTAAGTAGGTGATGGGCCTTTCTAACTTAAATTAAAATAACAAGAAGAAGAGAGTTAATTTTTAGACCTTGAGATTCTGAGGCAAGATGAGAAGTACTAGTCAAATCTTGTTGTTAGCTGGACGTATGGCTGAGGAAGAGAACTAGCAGATAGACATATCTGACAAATCAATTAATGAAAAAGAGATGAGAAAGCACTAACAAGGACTGGTAGGAGAAGGAAATAAGTTTAGTGTTTGATTCAAAACAAAGGAGTCCAGCCACGCCTATATATGGAAAGGAAAAAGAACCCAATATGCACTCAGCAGGGAAAATGTGCTTGGTGTGAAATCAACTCAAAGGATGAAGAGCAAATCGAGTGATAATTCAAACTAAACAACGTATCACTGCTCAGAGGATACATTCATTTATAATCTAATCTCTCTTCCAGATCTTAGACTATCATGACAGATGTCATATAGAAATTAAATACCCTAAACTAAGAAATGATCTTTAAACTTCTTTTAGTTGACAAAATCTACAAATTACAAACCTTAAAACACTGTTTTATTTTTACTAGGCAGTATAAGTGCAATAAAAGTGCTTAGCCCTAAGGAGATCATTTTTTTTCTAATCTGTGTTATACAATAAAAATTGACTTCTTTAGCTAGTATGTATGACTGATTGCTTTACATAGAAGGGGAAATATTAACATTAATGTATGGACCAAGACACCACTGTTAATACTTTTGTTTACAAACTGCATCAGGTGATGAACATGACCCTGGCCATCTTTCCTGCAGGAACATGAACGTTGGGCTTCTTTTTCAGAAACACGGAGCAAATTAAGTTCATGAACCAAGGCACCACTGTACTTGTTTTCAAAATTAAGAAATGTGTTATCTCGGGAAAAAAGAATTTTTCATTTAAAAATATTTACTAAATTTAAGAAATTACCTTCTACTAAACCATGTTTGAAGATTTTTTACAAATATTGATTGATTTAATCTTAATATTACTAGGAAGTAGTTCTAATATTATCCCTACTTTATCAATGCAAAGAGTAACTTAAATAGACAGAGGCAGGATCAGCACCCAGGATATGCACCTCCCGTAGCCACGCTCTACCCCAGCATGCTCTGCTGCCCCACTGTGGTGGGCCATTTCTAACAATGGGTGATCTTCCTTGGAGGGAGATCCGTTATAAGTCAAGCTTCCTGCTGATTTGTTTTCCCTTGTCTATCTGGGGTTTTTTTTAGCCTTAATACATGGTTCTTTTTTTTGCTAATGACTATTCTGAATTTCAGTTTTATAAAGAGCCAATAGTAAATGTTAACCTTCAATAAGTAAAAGCAGAGTGATCACTGAGGTGGAGAACTATAAACTGTCAGTCACAGTGGTGAAAGAGACAGAAGGGGGTAAAATGATGTCTCAGTTAAAGGAAACACCATCTGTAAGATCTAAAATATATAAATTAAGGTGCACAGTTACATTAATAAGAGCAGGAATTCTGGTGGTCCAACATAGGGTAATGACAGAGACCTCAAAAAATTAATTTCATGATGTAAATATTAAAGTTTGCAAAATATCTAGATATCATCTTAAAACATAGATCCTTTATCATTTTCTAGACGAGCACTTTGGGCTACTCTGAAAAACCAAATCTATTAACTAGCACCCAAAGAAGCCACAAACCAAAACACATTTTAAAGATTATGGAGATAACAGTCAAGATGTATCTGCACACCATCGTGTTCTATAACTTATAAGTAGCTAAATAAAGAAAAAATAGATCCCTAAATTCTGTCAGAACAATTACACACTTTATTTTTATTGTTTACCAAAAAGTTTTATTTTGTTTTTTCTCAAAGTTGTAGTTTATACAGAGTAGTTTATAATTCAGGGTAACAAAAAGGCTAAAACACACTAAGAAGAAATAGTTATTGCAGTTTTACCCTCACCAATGACAAGGGAAATCAA